ATCCCATATTACATAACTTTATAAAAATCCATGTGGTGGGTTTGAAAATTTGTCACATGTGAAAGTACGTGTTGAAAGTTGAATTTCATGTTAAAAAAGGAAGAAACCTTACATGACCTTACATCTGATTTTACTTGCCATATTGTCAATTAGTTTTTATAAAAGAACCTCAACTTTTTTATCTGCAACACTCAGTGTGGGAGTATGTATCAATGAAGGCTATTATCCTAACCAACAACTAGGAGGGTCATATTGTAAAACCTTATTTGTGAATATCAATGAATTCTCGTTAATATTACTTGGCCCTCAAGTAACTTGAATATTGAGTTACTTGGCATACAAATGATCTTAAAATCCTAGTAGAGTAAGAATCGTGCAGTCTTAAATTTAAACTCTGTGCCATTAATTTATCGTAAACCCTATTAAATCTGACATAAATTGATATCATGATGGGACATAATTGATGTGATTATGATTTGATTAATATCTTTCTTATAATAGGCTAGACAAAGAGAAAAACATATAAGTAGAGGTGTCTCTACTCTCACACATATCGTTCTCTCCATTGCTATACCCTATTCATAAAGCATAAAACACCTGAGTGTTCAGAGTAGAAGACTTTCAGTCTACTGCTTATCATCATACTGATACATATTTGTCTACATCATCTACTGTAATCCTATATACATGTTGATGATTTAGTTTAATGTCTTATACATGTAATGCTTTTGTTTAATGTCTGATACATATAGCGCCTCAAATCGTGATGATTTAAATATACATTCACAATGGAAATCTCAACTGTTGTTGATCTGTAATATATTCATTCTTATATACCACAATAAACAATACATATTTGACATTTAATAATACAGTTATATCGTGGAAATTTTAAATTACAATATTTGCTTGATAGTAGTTAACATTTTGCTTTTGATCAATATAAAAGTGGATTCTATGAAGATATGCTCACAGCATGCTGTCCCATTGTGCCCATACCAGGGAATCAATCGAGAACATAGCCTAGTATACAAAGTGTAATAATATAATTGATTGAAAATCTTGAAATAATATTTTTAACCAATTATATTATTAAATTTAATAAATCGGATCGTATTCTTGATACACTAAAAAAAAATTCTTCAAGGCAAGTATGTGGGACATCGGATTGAATTTATTTTGAGGACAACAAGATCTTGCGGCCCATTTTAAGTTGAAGGGACTATAGGGCTTGCAACGGGACCCTGACAAGCTTACTTAATTTGGTAGGTTACTAGAGCACTAGGGCACATGACTAGGCATTTTCCATCAAGAGATGGTCGAAGAAATCCTAAGCGCATGATATCAATATCGATCCCCTTTGTAGGTTTTAAGCCTCTCTCTCTCTCTCTCTCTCTCTCTCTATTTTTCTTGTTTTATTTTTACTTTTTACAGAAAGTAATGCATATGTCTTTAGCATTACCTTGGCGGCTTGGCCCGTCAAGAGATGATCGGAGAAATCCTAAGCGCAGGATATCAACATCGATCCCCTTTGGAATCCTTTGTAACCAAATGAGAAAAATTAATAGACATGTTTTGTCTATGGGAAATCCTAAGCGCAGGATATCAATATCGATCCCCTTTGGAATCTTTTGTAACCAAATGAGAAAATTAATAGACATGTTTTGTCTATGGGATAATCTATGATTTGGTATGATAACTATGCTTTGATGACAAACATAAAGTCTTAAAGCGGACAGTACCACCTTATATTACATCCCATCAACTTGTTGGATACATCATAAGACCAAATCCAACTCATGGTCTAAAACCTATAATTTCCCTTCTATTCCCCCCAATCCATTCCAACCCTAGTTCTAATTTGGGCCTAAAAATAAATAATAATAATAAAAAAAGGCTAGAAACCGGCTAGGATTTAGCCCAGAAAATGGTGTGGGCCCCACCAGCGCAAGTGAAACTGGGCAGTTGGAAGGCAGACGCCCCCTTGCGACACGCCCAAGGCCGAGACCGGCATGACCCCACCCACATAGGCCTGTCGGCCACCTGCGTCAGAGAATCAACGGCTAGTTTCACGAGCAACTGACTGAGATCAACAGGCCGTTGGTTGATCCAACGGCCTACATTCCTTTTTTTTTTTTTAGTTTTATATTTATATTTATATTTTTATTGAATCCAACGGTTGATATTGAATATAATCAAACCGTGGGGAAGATTATTTCATGGTGAAGCCGCATAGACAAATGATGTCAATGAAGGTGTCGATTTGTTGACCCCAACTTCTTCTTTTGCAAGGCCCCTGGGAAGAGATAAGCAAAAGGAGGCAAAGAGAAAAGGGAAGTTCCAAGATCCGATTAGTGCACAAATTGTTGCCGGATTTGCAAGATTGGCCAAAAGTCATAGCTGTTGGGAGGAAGAAGCGGTCCGAATGGGTTTGGCCATTACGCACGAAAGGGATAGAAAGCAAGAAAGGTTCGAATGTAATTTCATGATGGAGGACCTCAACAAATACACTCTAGAGAGGAAGAAGTTCTTATGTGATAAGCAAAAGGAAATTTTGCGAAGGCATTGCCACAAGGAGTATATTTCAAGATGATGATTCATCTCAAGGCTATATCCCAAGTCCACCATCAAGTCCACCACCAAGTCAAGATGGTGGATATCATTATTAAGTTTATATAGTTTATGAATTATCGATTGTATTAAGTTTATGTGGTTTATTAATTGTCGTTTGCATTAAGTTTCATGTATCGATTTAGTGATTTTCAAATATTTATCAAAATTTAAATATTTTAGGTTAAAATGTTAATAAAATTAGTTTAGGATAGTCTACATATTTTTTTTTTAAAGTTAATTAAAAAAAAGAGCAAAAATTCATTTTTAATAATCTGGGGCTAAAATTTTAGGTCATAATGGTTGGAGCAGAAAAACCGTTTTTGGGTCAAAACCTAAATTTTTTGGGCTAAAAATTTTAGGTTTTAAGCCAATGGTTGGAGATGGTCTAAGACTGAACATTGAACAGTAGTAGTCATCGTTGTCTTTCATTTAATTATAGGAGAGGACAACATAAAACCCATCAAACCCACGACTCCAATAATATGGATAATATAGGTAGAGAGCATTATTAATATATCATCCTAGCGTTAATCATTATTTCTATGGTCTTGTCTCGGAGTGTAGAAATTTGATCATAGAGAATTAGAGTTGCAATTGCAACATGTTCATAAAGAACATAATCTTGCAACTAACAGGTTAGTCAAGTTGAGTTTGAATAGCGAGATGGATTTTCAAGAGCTTGCGAAGCCACCTCATTGTTTAGTTCAAACTCTTTCAAATGATTGCTCTAGAGTTGCTAGAGCTAGACTAGTTGTTCCTTAGTGTTTCATTTCTCTTTTTCTTTCATGTTACCGAGAAAAAAAAATATTAATATATAATTACTTAAAATTTAAACTCTAATAAACAAAATTATGTACTTTAATTGAGCAAATAGACTATATCAAATAATAATTATACTGAATGATCATTTAATTCCTCATGAAGGAGACATGGAGAAAACCTAGCTTGCTCAATTTACAATCAATCATGACAAGTTGCCTATAACCAAGTAGTAATCTTTTGTAACCAAATAGGCACTTAGCTGACCCAATTATGTCTATATTGTCCATAACCAATTAGTCATTGTTTAGAAACCAATAAATTCATGACAATGAACTTCAAAAGTTTTGTTCTTTTAATTAATTATCTCAATGTACTATCCTTCTGTACCCAACCCTTCAAACCTAAAAATTGTTTAATCCTAGTGAGCTCGAAGAAAAATTATTTAAACCTTGCCTGTCTACCACCCGAAAAGGCTCAAAATTTCGTGTACATATTCCTTGTACAGTGTACTGATTAAGGACGAATTAATAATTAATTAACAATAATCAAAATTCTGAGTGCTTCATAACAATTATTCCCTCGCATACGTTTATATATCTCGCAATTATAACCACTACAATTATATATTATAGTAGATTTGATGCTTGATTTTGTCAGGAAAAATAAATAGTGAAGCAGCTAAGCTGTTTCTCGACCATTAATTACAATACTATTGTTTCAAGATGCACAGTATCAACAACTCCTTTGGCCAACTCATAAAGTAGAGCTCAAAGTCAAAGAGATCTTCTTCTTGATACTATTGGTAGTTATGCTGTATTATCAAGTACTGTTTTAAAACATGCATGTTTTAATTATCATCCATGTTATAATTAAATTACATACTTAATTAACAATTTATGCATTGTATCACATTTTCCAAATGGGTGAGATGAGATCTGGATATGATGAGGTTCCTGTCCTTTGGGTGCGTGTTTTCACATAACGCTTGCCCTAGCTCGCTAATAGTTTTATCTTCCAAAAAGAATGTATCAATCAAAATTCCTTCTAATTAAAAACAATAAAAATTAAGGGGTGATGCTAAAAATGACTATCATTTTAGATCATATTTTATAGATCATATGACGTGTGATTGATAGTTTCTTTCTTCAAATCATTAAAAATAATATTTAATTGTCAATCGTCACATTATGTGGTTTATAAAATGGAGGTGGATTGTTTGCCCTTCTATTTTCATACTCTTCTTATGCCCTCCTGTTTGTGTAGTCACGATTAAGCTATGTCAATATTTTATATTTCTATTATTTTTTGTTTTATTATTTTTATAAAAAAATTAATAGAAAATATTTACGTGACTTAACCGTGACCACATATCACAGAAAGAAATAAAGAGAATATGAAAATAGAAGAACAGACCATTCACCTCTTTATAAAATATGGTCTAAAATTATTGTTCCTGACATTTTAAAACATTTTAATGAGATATAATGATCATTCATAAGTGACTTTCAATTTTAAAATATATATGATTTAGGTATGTGATCCCACCAAATGTGAACGCAATTACTTTTGTACATAAGAACAGTGCCCACGAGTATAATTAAAAATTTTAAAGTGGCCGGTGAGGTCACTTCTTCTTTCTCACCTGTACTCAGTCATCTTGTATCCGAAGAGAGTGTCAATCTTGAAGGAAAGGAATCTTTGGCATCTGAATTAGGCCCATCAAATATTGCTCATATCTAGTTCTTTAATCCTCCATTGCAAAATTCACAGAAAAAAGCTGTTCAATCTCTTTATTTTTGGTAATGTTTCCTTTACACCAAAGCAAGAAGCTGGTCTTCCAGATTTCATCTAATCCTCGTCATCACCATGATCACACAATTTCAGAAGATCGTAGAGTTCCGGAGCATGGCAACATGGGAAAAAGCCGGCGGCGCAAATTAGCTGTTACTTTGGACTATATGATGGATGATGATCACAAGTCTAATGATCATAACAAGAAGAAGAAAATGTTTATGCACAGGGAAAGTGAAAGGCAAAGAAGGCAAGAAATGGGTATCCTACATGCTTCACTTAGATCCCTACTCCCTCTTGAATTTATCAAGGTTTAGAACCAATATGTGCCCTCTCTCTCTCTCTCTGTCTCTCTCTCTCTCTCTCTCTCACACACACACACACACACACACACAAACACACACACACACACAAACAAATGGTTGGCTGAAAGAACGATGACTAGGGTTGCTGACATATATTCGTTGCGAAAGCAGGGAAAGCGTTCGATATCAGACCACATGAACGAGGCTGTGAATTATATAAAGCACCTCCAGAATAGGATCAAGAGATTAGACGCCAAGAGAGCTGAACTGAAGAAGGTCTCCGATCTAATTAGCTCTAGTACTAGCACGGACGACCATGGTGGTGAAAGTTCCCATGGGGGATCGCCAAGCTGTTTCACAGTCCAACCATGTTGCGGTGGAGTGCAAATCGTGATCAGTACTGCCATCGGCTTCAGATCTGGAGAGGAAGGGTTACGCTTCTCAATTTCTAGGGTTTTAGAAGTGCTTCTTGAACAAGGGCTTTGTGTTGTGAGCTGTGTCTCCTCCAAAATAGATGACAGACTCCTTCATACTATCCAGTCCGAGGTACTCTATCAAGTACTCCTAATTTATTGGTCAATATTAGGTTTAGGGTTTTGTGTGTATGTATGTTTGAAGTTGCTGTTTTGTGCGTGTGTGTGTTTAATTAAATTTTTTTTTTCTCAGGCGAATGATCCAGAGAGTATCGATCTTTCTGCGCTGGAACATAAACTAGATGAAGTGCTTCCACGATGTAAATGAATATCCGAGTAACTTAATACCTGTGTTGATTCATTTGGCCTTGGACTCCCCCAGTATGCTGCTCCCAATCTTAATTTTTGTTTCCGAGAAAATTTGAGCATTGGTCCTTGGACTTTGACCCAATTGGAGATTTGGTTCTCGAACTAAAATTCCGTATGTATTGGTCTTTGAACTTGTCACAGTATAGAGCAATGAAATTTTGGGATCAAATTTCAGTAACCAATACTTCAATTGGGTCAAATATCATGGACCAATGCTTCAACTTTCTCTTTTATTTTGGGATCAAATTTGGTGATGACTCAAACGTAAATTCTTACAATTTACTATGTGTTATTTTGTTTAAGTACTTACTGATATCATTTCAGTTAGCTCTACTTGAATATAAATATGGGAGGGATGCAAAGTCTTGTAGAAGAACCTCACTTTGACCGTGCAGCGTGTATATGTTTGTGTATATATCTGTATATTTGCGTGTGACTTTGATCTATTATTGCTGTCAAGTTACAAATTATCAGATTACAGATTTATTTTCGGGTATTATTTTATTTATGAAGGACAAGACTACAATTATAAATGGACCTACATATATCATCAGATTGATATTTCTGGAAATGACTTATTGCTTCTTGCATCAAACTTATAGCCAACCTCTGTCTTAGGTTAAGGTTAACGGTTTGTGCTCTTTGCTCTGAAGGGCTTTTCATGTGCTCTTCGTTGAAGGCCACAAAGCACCCACTTTTAAGTGGTCGATTACTTCTATTGCCGTGTCCATTAATCGAAGAGCATGAACATAAAATCTGTCGCTAACCTAAGACATCAATTTAGCTACTGTTGCTGTCCAGCCGACTTCAAGGGCATGCGTGTAAATCATTTCATTGCCTTTTCTTTTTTCGCGAACTTCATTAAACCAAAATTTGTAGGAATTACAATGATGGGAATTCAAACTGAAATTATTTAAACTACTGAAATTATGGTAAATTCAAGTTACATGTCTTTTTCATCACTAAAAGAAGCATGAATAATATTACCAATACGTTCCTTGCACCTTCTAAAATCATCATAATTTTTTCCCCCACTAAACTGCAGTGGCGGCAGCTGCTCCGGTGGGCCTTAGCTCCCTCCATCTATGTATATGTGCAAGGGCTCGATTGTTTTAGCATATAGATCCCCAAGTTGGTTGAACACTCGTATGCATAAGCCCTTAAAAGTCTAAAAATATAGAGTTTCCAGACTCTTCAAACCATTATTTTCTTTATAAGTACAAACCCCAAAATAATTATCACACTGCCATTTTTTCACCTAATCCAACTCTTAACATGCTTATCTCGATTCCATTCATGATTATATAATAGTACAAAGTTATTTTGATGTAATTTTTACAAGTTAGGAATTGATTTGCGTACCCCTTTCATTTTTCAGCCTTTGAATTTTGATTAAAAAAAATCAAATTAAGAAAACAAAAAAAAAAAAATGTGCAGAAGAAAAAAATAGGGTGTGAAAATCACTTTCGAAGAAAGGTCGTTTAATCAACACCTGGTTTGCGACTTTCCAGAAAGCCAACTTAAGGGCCCATAACTACCAACTACAAAATCAACATGCCATTGGGCCCATAAGCCCCTGTTTGCATTGCCAAGTTTGGGTCCACTCCATGGACTTCCATAGGCTGCCATTTAGCAATTTGTCTCTAATGCATATAACCACATTTTACATACACATTGAATAAAAACCGTTAGATTAAAATGGACGGACAAGATGAAGAGTTTAATTGAAGTTACAAACGGGTAAAAGAAACCCAAATTGCAAACCAACCCAGGAAATTGAAGACCCGATTAACATTACTCCATGTTCTCTCCTCTCTCTAGGAGTTCTAATCATATACTTATACCCTAATTTCAAAAGTGACAATATAATTACTCAAATATAACAAAAAAACCCACTTAAATATATTCGATTGTCGCCGCTTACTACTACGGTCTAATAGTATTCCTATCACTTATAAGTAAGAGTTTTTAAGTTCGACTCCCACTAAAGCCGAATATAAACCATATTATTGCTAACCATTATAAGACTTAACCTACCAACCCAACCCCATTCACTCTCTCACTGTCCTACCCCTTAGTTTAGATAATATCGTTCATTTAAAAATTAATATATATATATATATATATATATTTTTATTAAGGGGTTGAATTTTGGCTATTTATAATTAAAACAAATCCAATAACACAAGATATATAAAACACTGAAGGAAAAAAAATTATATTTCTCATTATATTGATATTTGAAACACACAAAAAATTACAGAATTGTCTGAATTGGTTTCCCTGCCATCAATAAAACATGTTCAAATGACAGAAATGTTCATTGCTTCCAGTTTCTTTCCCTGCCATCAATTACATCGGTTCTTCGCTGTGAGTCATCAGCAAGTCCATCCATGGCCTCTCAGAGAGCTCCCTTGGCTAACATTTATCAAAGATAGAATCCCACTTTGCAGATCCATGTTATTAGCTTCACAAAGCACCTCAGATCTGTCGATACTCGATACATGAGACATTCGAGATGATAGCGTAGTCGGAAACCTGCTCATGGTCGGAAGACGGAGAGAACCCTCCAAACCTGCTCAACTCTAAACCCCTTCCCCACATATTTCATATCCTTTTCTCTTATTTTAGCTAGCTACTTGACCACAGATCAAAAGCCACCGAGCTTACTTGAAAAATTGCAAATAGGAGCATATACAATTCAGATGAAATGCTTGAACAATTCTTATTAAGCAACACAATATTAAGTTAACTACATTTTCTTTAAAATGTAAGCGTCAATCTTTGTCGGGTTTTTAGTCAAAATGGTCCTTGAGATTGACATAACTCCTCACTTTAGTCCCTAAGTTTGTCGACCGTCAATCATTTTGGTCATTCCTTGAAAAATCTCCGTTAAATGGAAAAGCAAGTGGAAGGGTTGATTTGACAAAAATACCCTCAATTTTTACGGAATGATCAAAATAATTGATAGTGAACAAACTCAAGGACCACTTCTATCGATTTTCAATCTCAAGGGACCAAAGTGAGGAGTTATGTCAATCTCGATGACCATTTTGGCTAAAAAGCCATCTTTCTCTGTATGCATGTGAAATGTTATCAATGATCTGTATAAAGGCCATGGGAAGTATACTAAACTATTCTACAAGGAGTTGTCTGCAACTGCAAGCATCATGTGCGCATGGTGACAAAGCTCAATCATAAGATGGGCAAGTGAACAAATAATTAGTAGCACAAATGATTCATAGGCTATACATATCACTTCTGCTTGTAACAAGCTCTACCTGTAATAAATTGTTTTTAGTAGACAGAACTTCACCGTAAAGTCTTCATACGTTAAAATATCAAATTCTAGGCTTCAAGCTGGCAAAGGTTGAGTTGAGTCAGTTGACCTGTATATCTGTATTCGCAACGAACCAGCTACGGGGTGAAGTTATAAGCAGAATCTTTGATTTGTAAGTTCAAGCTAAAAGAATCACCATCAGCAAGCATACCTTGGCACCGAAAGAAAGAAATCACTTGTGGAGGACATGATCTTGAAACATAGAGACAACAAAATGTTTACCCAATTTCTCAGTAATAGACATGCCAAATCTCTAAACTATAGCATGTCTAAGAAAATTGCACCGAGTGTCGTGCCTTTTTCTGCACAACCGATGAAGCTGTGCAGGAAAAAAAAACCTACTTACTAACCATCTTAGAAACAGGGCCAAGCATCGTCACGGGACAAGTTACATCCATTCTCCGTCCACGTTTGCATTTGTATTGGCCTTTTTCGGTTTTTCCAATACCCGGGTTTATCTGAAATTTTTCCCTCCCAATCATTACCAACTACCAAGGTGAAAAATGGAATATATGCAAAAGGTATAGCCAACCTCCAAAAAGCTGGAGACAGGAACCACAACTACCCTGGCCAAAATTTCAAATGATGATAAAAAGCAAGTTGCTTTCTTCTTCGTTTTCCCTTTCCTTTTCTTTAAGGGGGGAGGGGTCAACTAATCGAATTTCACTAAGCAGGTAGTAGTTCAATTTCTAGGAAACCTATTCAAATGAGTAGGGCTGGCCTCGTTGTTAAAAGCACGGGGCCGGCCTCCGAGAAAGTAAACTCGAAATTCCTGAAAGTCAGTGCAAGAGGAATGTGACAAAGTGACAGTGTTTCCATCTTTACACCAAACTATGATTACATACGAAATCGAAAACAGTTTGATTTGTAGGCCTACCAGTAAGGACATGAGCAAAATAAAGAAATTCCGATAATTCAAATTCATTGATGAAATCATAAGTTCATACAAGTAAAAACTGTTCCTTTTCCTTTCTTTCGATACACAAATCATCCACAAAGAATGACGAAGCAATGATCTATAGCAGTATATCATTAATCTTAACGAAAAAGACACAAAATCATACATTAGAAACTCACCGGACATTCGCCTGAGACTTAAATGGGAAGCGTGACTTAGCTGAAGTGGATAATTCACGCGGTAGTTTGGGTGGCTCCAACTCACCGGTAAGCATCCCCACAACCTCCTTCATCGAGGGGCGGCGAGAAGGCACTTTTTGCAAGCAAACCAATGCCACGGTAATGCAAAGGACTGCTTGTTCTTGATCCAGAGATTGAATGGACTTATCAACGAGATCAACGAGCTTCCCTGAGCGGGCAAGATGGCGCGCCCACGATAACAAATTCGCCCTTTGGAATTCGGACATAGGCGAATTTGTGACCTCAAGTGGGCGCCTTCCGGCTATAAGAACCAATAAAAAAATCCCAAAACTATAAACATCCCACTTCTCAGACGGATCACCACCATCACCGTATTCAGGGGCAACATAACACACTGTCCCTCTCATGCTCGGAGTACTACTCATGGCCCCACTCTTTGGAATCTCCCCGGAATCATGGCTACCATTACGCCGCATTCCGTCCAACCACCAATCAATACTACTCACACTCCCCCAACTCTTGCTCCTACTCCTCTTCTTGATCTTCTTCTTACTCTCCGCGTACAATTCCTCATCGCGTGACCACCAGTTGTCATCATTGTCGTCAAAGCTCATTTCTTTCGGTTGCTTCTTGTCCTTCTTTTTCTTCTTCTTAGCAAGCTCATCACAGTACTCCTCCTTCCACCATTCCCTGGCAGGCCTTTTCCTCTCCTTATTTGATTTCTTCACATTCTTGTCCTCGTCCATCGACACCCACCATTCCAATCTCCTCTTGTTCTTCCTCTTCTTCTTAACTTTCCCAACCGTTTCGCTACTCGAACAGGAGGCAGTAGTTCCAACCGGCCTATCAGTCCCAATCTCATTCCCAATCCACTCCATCACATAGTCCTTCACTCCACTGTCCTGCCTCCACCACCAATCCTTATTTACCCTCTGTTTCCCTCCCTCCTCCAAAGTCCCCCCTGGAGACACCGGGGACGGTGGTGTCACCGAAGTCTCCGGCGAAACGGAAACAGGACCCTTCGCTAAATCCTCCGGCGACTGATCAACAGCCACGTTCAAATCATCAAACCCAGCGGTGGTCACACTCTCAGTTTCCTCCACCACCGACCCATAGTCGCACCCGCCATTGCTCTCAAGCTCCTCCTTCGGCACGTCATCAATCTCAATCACAACCTGATCCTCCGATTTCAGCCTAGCGAGCCCGAAATCGGCGATCTTGGCGGCGAAGTCGCCGTCCAGCAGCACATTACTGGGCTTCACATCGCCGTGAATTAACGGCGGGTCCAACCCATGAAGATATCTGAGCCCTTTCGCTACATCAACGGCAATCGAAAACCTTTTTCTCCACTCCATCAATTCAGGGCACTTTCTCTTCAGCAGCGCGTCCTGCAAATTCCCGTTGCTCATAAACTCGTACACCAGCACCATACGCCGCCGTTTCGGGTCGGAGGAAAATCCGAGGACCGAGACGACGAGCGAAGAATCGAGCTCAGAGGCTAAAAAGAGCTCGTTCTGGAACTCGCGCTCGCTCTGTAGCGAGCCGGAGTCCATGAGCTTGACGGCGACATCTTGTCGGGTGTGTGGGATGGTGCCGAAAAACACGGAACCTGAGCCGCCTTGGCCAAGGCGGCGGGTGGGGGAGAAGGAGTCGGTCGCGCGGCGGAGCACGGAGTAGGAGAAGCGGTGGGGGGGCTTGGAGTCGGATTCCGGGGTGGTCCGCTTCCGGGTGATTTTTCGGAAGCAGACTACGAGGAAGAGGAGGAGAGAGAAGGCGGTGGTGGCGGAGGCGGCGGCGATAGGGTTGGGGAGGCGGCTGCTGACCCGGGGTTGGGGCTGAGGAGAAGCTGCGGGCGATTGCGATGGGGATTGAAGGAATTGGTGCATCGTGGGTACTACCAAAACGACATAAAGGTGGAGACTTTAGAGTTCGTTGAAGAGATCACTCTGCGAATTGCGACAGCGAGAGTTGGAAGGGAGAAGAAAATGAAAGTGCTTTGAGTTGTTCAGCTGTTCGTGTCTGTATTTTCTGCCGTGTTTAATGTCACTGCAATTTTTATGTCTTTCCGTTTTGGTGCGGGAGGATTTTATTTATTTGACTTTTCCTTTTACTCGTCCCTTGTCACATTTTACTTTTTCCTTTCCAGCGCAGTTGGCGCCCGGGCGCTGTTGAGTTATTTTGCCTTCCACTTTGTATTGGTTTTAAACATGTTTTCTTTTTAATAAATGGTATATTTTTTTTGTTCGTTGATCTTTTTTATTTTATTTAATTTTACAATAAAAAATAATATTGAGATGTGAATGCGTAAATAATGATGTTGAATTTCTCCTTTCCTATGAACAATAGTATTTTTCTTACTATTTGTAAACTAAATTTTCAGCTAAATAAAATTTTGACATGTTTACTTACTTATAACGATGGTAGTCAAATAACGCGTAGAAACCAAGAACAATGTTTCTGAAAAAATTGAACCACATCTTGTTTCGTTGAGTAAATATTTACAAAAACAATGGAAAGTACTAAAAAGTATATAAATGCGACAATTAAATGCATGATTTCATGCTTAAAAATTCATGAACTAAAGTTATGGAGGTAGTTAATTTCATCCTCATTGTTTCTCACTTATATGTTGATGCTATATATCAAAATAGTTGTAATTGGAGAAGCCAGTCCTTCTCTTCGACGACAACAAGTCGATTTTAGTTTGGATGATTAAGTAATTTGTGGTCAGATTAGAGGTTGTGATGGAGTTGAGTCAATGGGGTCGACAGAATCTGCTATGCTGTTTGGAAGGAGGGGAAGAAGGATGGTGATTGGTTATAGGTTCAAATGGAGGGGTGGATGTTTGGTCAGCAAGACAGGATGGTGTTTGGTGAATGGTGATGATCTCATATTACATGTGTTAAATTTTTATTGGGTCACGCATGATGGTCGGTAGATTAAGTATTCTTCCGTGAGTAACTAAGTTTTGTCCATTTACGATTACTTTGTGATGAATTGACATTTAGGCATAGCTCGTTTTAACTTAATTTAGATTACATAAGCTTGCTTGTGTGATTGACTTGCGTACCTTGAGCAGATTACAAACCCATTGAAATTGCCCAAAATCTCACCCACCCCCTCCAAAAAACAAGTTTTATCTAAATGATCCTCCAAGTTCCCAACTACTCCACCACATTAATTTACACTAATAATTGTTTCTTACACGACTCTTACATAATTCTAACGTATGTTGCATGGTTTATTTTTATTTATTTATTTTAAAAGATAACGGATGACAAACTATTGGTTTTCCATCATTTCTTAACCCGAAAGAAGCTAGTTGGAATGTGACACGGTTTATTTGATTACTTAGAATTGTTATTCAAACTCTTAAAAAACTCTTTTTTTATGTTAATGGACTCGACCTTGCTAAAGAAACTAAATAACAATTTGCAAGTTGAAAATATTTTTACTCACCATTCTCACATTGCCACTTGATGCCCATGGACGGAAAATCAGAGGCCAATGCTCATGAGCCCTTCTCGGACTCATCATCAATGGACCTTACACATTTCCAAACAACAGAATCTGCTAAGTTTTTGGGCCTCCAACTCCAAAGCATACGTATGCCAACACACCACAGTGAATAATAAACCAATTTTACAAAAGAAAATAAAAATTTTGATTCATCGACTTCCCGGGTGCCAGTTTATCAGATAATCGACACCTTGACATTATGCTTGCTAAAGGCCTAGGGCAAAAAAAAAATAAAAATATAAAAACGAAGAGACAAAAGCCGAACAAGATGACACATTGCAGACGATGATTCCAAGGGAATCAATTCCTTGTTAGAAACTTAGAGTTGATGGTTCCAGGGATGAAACATGAGATATAAATCAATTTTGTGCTTCGCATTGCCACTAGTAGGCTAGCCGATCATCTTTCACCAGCTGCACTCAATCTTGTGCTTGCTAATGGCTTATCCTTCTTCTTCTTCGTCTGGCCCTGCCCGCTGTTGGAAATATGATGTCTTCCTTAATTTTAGAGGCGAGGACACTCGTAAGATCTTTATCAGCCATCTATACAAAGCTCTGGTTCAGCATTCAATCAACACCTTCATCGATGATGAAGAGCTACGAAAAGGCAACAACCTTTCGCAGCTGCTGTCTAGCTATTAAGGGCTCAAGGCTTTCGATTGTAGTTTTTTCTCAAAACTACGCTTCTTCCACATGGTGCTTGAAAGAACCTGTCCAAATCCTGGAATTCATGGATACACAGGAGCAGATTATGGTGCCCGTTTTTTACCAAGTTAATCCAAGTCAGGTTCGTAAACTTGAGGAAAGTTTTGCAGAAACTTTTTCTGAACATGAGCGGGATTCTAACGCCAGCATGGAAGAGGTGCGGCACTGGAGGTTCGCTCTAACTAGGGCAGCCAATCTATCTGGCTGGGATTCGCGAGATTACAAGTAACTCTCACTTCTTTATAATCTAATTAATTAGTTTTAGGCTTTTAATTTAGCTAAAATTAATTGTTTATACTGTCGATACATATCTATGATGCTAGTAAAACATATAAATGATGTAATCCGCCTAGATCTATGCCATCTGTGAAAAGTTAAGAGCAACTGATTAATACAATAGTCACAAACATAAAAATTGACAAATATGCAGAAATTTGTATGCAGGTTAAAGTAAATTCTAGCTTGATTTGAAGAACAAAATTAAGTTTTAGCTCAGTGTGATCAGTGTGTCAATACATATTTTGCTAGCGGCCGTAGGACATTATGGCTTGCTCTGACTCCTTTTTTATACTCCTTTTGAAATTTCATAGGGATGATGCCAAGCTTATTGAGAACATTGTACAAGATATTTCTAAGAAATTGATAAACATCTCATCAAGTGAAAATAATGGCTTGATTGGAATGTATCCGCTTACAGAAAATGGATTCACTATTATGTCCTGAGGCGGGTGGCGTTCGCTTTGTCGGAATATGGGGTATGCCCGGTATAGGCAAAACCACCATCACCAGAGCTATGTATGACAAAATTAATCATCATCACTTCGAAGGTCGTTACTTTCTTGAAAATGTCAAAGGACATTTTCCGTCAACTGATGCTGGTGAAGCATCACTAGACATGCAGGCAGAAATTCTATCTCGTATCACAACTACGAAGGTGGGGAGTTCAGAGATTTAAAGAAATGGTTTCCAGAAGATGATGGAAAGAGTTGGTACGAAAAAAGTTTAAATTGCCCATGATAGTGTGGAGAATTCATCCCAAATTGAACCCTTAGTTGGAAAGCAACCTTCATTTAGTGGCGGAAGTCGAACATTATAACAACTAGAGACAAACAGTCGCTAAGTAGTTTTGGTGAACAGATATAGAAGCCTAAGTTGTTAAATGAAGATGATGCTCTTGAATTGTTTATGCAGTATGCTTTGAGTACAATGCAATCCACAAAAGAATGCATTGATCTGTCAAACCATTTCATATTTATTAAAATGTGCAGCTATGATATTTTTTTGATCAATTGCATTAGAACTTCCGTGAAAATATTCAATATTATAAGCTACACTCAAGTCAAATTCTTTCCTCGTTTCCTTGATTCCTTCTCCTCGCTAAACCATCAACTCTTTAGGGCTACCTAACTACTTGACAACTATACTCATTACAGCCCGTAAACATAACATTATGTTTGGATGAGGGAAATAAATTTAGAATTTGTAAATTGACATGCACCAATTCCCTTGTTTGGATTTATAAACATAAAAATTTAGAATTTCCGTGTGGAAAAAAAACTTGGAATTTGGGACCTTCAATTCCCAAATTTAAATTCCATGTAAATAGATATTATTTCTCAATTTATATGATTAAAGGTTTAAAAATAACAAATTCCGTATTCAATTCTATTATTCTTTATGTTAACCAAACAAGAAGATTCACAAATTCTAGAAAATAAAATTTCGTCATTTCAATTTCTGTTATTTTAAAGTTCCTTAGTAAAATTAAATTTCTTCGTCTAAATATAATGTAAAGGTAAATAAGATTTATGAGACAAGATTGCTTTCTAATATTTTGATCAACAACTAGCCTAGCCACATGATTAGATGCTCCCTTCACATTATCTTTGATTAATATAATATATCGATGTAACTTATTTCTTTGTTTTGTATTGGTAGGTGGACTTCAGCCAAAGCTGACCCTTAAGTTACAACAAACAATGCTTTTGAATTTTAAAGCGATCATGGTTAAAAAAACAATCTGGATTCTAGTTCCAGAGCACCGTCATGTCCCCTCTCAGCGAATAGCGATAACGTCCTTGTCCCAACAGTTTATACATATACCGAAAATAGTAATCTAGTTACCTCAGTCATCTACCAGAACCATGCACTTAAACTTGGCATGAAATTATCAGGCTCCCTGTAAATTTAAAGTCCCAAATAGTAAACTTAATAATAATGTGGAGGTAAATGTATAATTAAGATTTATGAGACAGCTCATTAAGGGTTGTTACATGTGGTTGCAACTTGCAAGTTATTGCAAAATATCAATGTTATTTTATTTATTTATTTTTTTTGTAAAACGATAGATTTTATTAGATTATATATTAGATCAATCACCAATAGAGTTCAAACTCACGCCGTCATGTAAGAACTTAACATTTTCCACTACAGTGTAGTAAAGGGCACTTGCTCAATCTTATTTCTTGGAAGTTTTAACGAAAAACTCATGTACTATTCGCCACAGTTTACACAAAAATCATATTATATTATTCACTTCTTTTTATTTATAGTTAAACTAAAGTTACAGCTTTACCTTTTTTCTTTGAATTGTAGACTTGGCAGTGACCGTCTCTTTATGGAAAAGATGCCCTCCTGAGATGCTCTCCTTCACCGAGGCAACTCTTCCTTTCGGATCATTTTCCAGAGAGAACCGTGAAGGAGTTCAGTCGTTGAGCATCCATCTAATCCAACGTCATTTTGAAAGTCGATCTTGTTCTTCTCAATGGCTGATTCTTCGTTCTTCTTCATCTGTTCTCGATTGGAAATATGATGTCTTCCTCAATTTTAGAGGCGAAGACACTCGGAAGACCTTCATCGGCCATCTGTACAAAGCTCTAGTTCACAACTCAGTCAACACCTTCGTTGACGCTGAAGAGCTCAGAACAGGCAACGACCTTTCGCAGCTACTGAAAGCTATTAGCGAGTCAAGGCTTTCGATTGTTGTTTTTTCTCAAAACTACGCTTCTTCCACATGGTGCTTGAAAGAACTCGTCCAGATCCTGCATTGCATGGATCAGAAGCAGCAGATTGTGATCCCCGTTTTCTATGAAGTAGATCCTTCTCATGTTCGTAAACTCGAGGGAAGTTTTGGGGAAGCTTTTTCTAAGCACGAACATGATCCTAACGCTGACATGGAAGAGGTTCAGCACTGGAGGTCCGCTCTACAAAGAGCTCCCAATTTATCAGGCTGGGATTCACGAAATTACCAGTAACTCTCACCCCTTCATAATCTTATTAACTTACTAGTTTAGAAATTTAGCTAATTTCATGTTTTGGTCTTCTTAATTTTGAAGAAAATTCTTATTTCGTTTATAGACTATAATTCTAATTTTCTTTGTAATTTTTGATTATTCATACATATATTGTTGAAATGTTAATGTTAAATTTGTTATTAATGTTAATACAACTAGAACCAAAAGACTTCCTAGGTGTTAGGATGGCCACGTTGATGACCCTCTCAATCTCGCAAACGAAAGGTTGATTTGTAATCTTTGGAGCCACTGATATAGATCTCGCGATGAAGAATTCAATTGTTTTTAATTTACTTTTCACGTGGGACGACATCGTTTGTATATTTTCTACTTCTTTCAAGATGAGGACAGAGCACGTTTTACTTACTGCATGTTTTTCAAAATTTGCAGGTATGATGCCAAGCTTATTGAGTTGATTGTAGATGATATTTTTGATAAATTGATCAACAACTCATCAAGTGAAAAGAACGGTTTGGTTGGAATGGATTCCCGCTTACAGAAAATGGATTCACTATTATGTCATGAGGTGGATGATGTTCGCTTTGTTGGAATATGGGGTATGGGTGGTATAGGCAAAACCACTATCGCCAGAGCTATCTATGACAAAATCAATCATCATTTCGAAGGTCGTTGCTTTCTTGAAAATGTAAAGGGACGTTTCCCAACGATTGATGCAGGTGAAGCACCATTAGATATGCAGGCGGAAATTCTGTCTAGCATCACGAATGCTAAGGTGGGGAGTTCAGAGATTTTGAGAAATGGTTTTCATAAGATGGTGGAAAGAGTTGGTAAGAAAAAGGTTTTCCTTGTTCTTGATAATGTGGAGAATCCATTCCAAATTGAAGCTTTAATTGGACGACAACCTCCATTTGGTGGCGGAAGTCGAATCATTATAACAACTAGAGATAAACAGTCACTAAGTAGATTTGGTGATCAGATTTATAAGCCAGAGTTGTTAAATGACGATGATGCTCTTGAACTGTTTATGCAGTATGCTTTCAGTACAAAGCAACCCACAGGAGAATACAGTGATATGTCAAGTCATTTCATAAAGTATGCTCAAGGTCTGCCCTTAGCACTTAAAGTCTTGGGAGCTTTTCTCGATAACAAAAGTGTACTAGTGTGGAAAGACGAGTTAGAGAAGATAGCGACAAACCCGCACCTGGGAATTCAAAAAGTCCTTCGAACAAGCTTTGATGGACTAGATCGTTTACAGAAGAAAATATTTCTTGATATTGCATGTTTCTTTAAACAAATGAAGAAAGACTATGCAATAAGGATTATGGAGGGTTGTGGCTTCCATCCCCATACTGGACTAGACGTTCTAGTTGGTAGAGCTCTTGTAACTATCTCATCCGACGGTATAATCGAGATGCATGATTTACTAGAGGAAATGGGTTACGAAATCGTACGTCAGGAATCCATAGAAGAACCAGGGAGGCGTAGTAGGTTGTGGAGCTATGAAGACGTTCATCATGTGTTAACTCAAAATACGGTGAGATATGCATTATATTCAAGATTTTTTTTCTTATGTAGCAGTCATTAGTATGTAGCTTCAAATTTGACCAAACTCCGAATCGTGAGAAACATGCATTAGCTTTATAATCTTAAATAAGTTTGTACTCGCTCAATGTGAACATTTTGGTTATACAGGCTTCAGAAGCAGTTGAAAGCATTATTGTGCATTGGCCGCACTCAAACGAAGTGTTACAATTAGATGCAGCTTTTGCTAAAATGACGGAACTAAGACTCCTTAGAGTCCACTCACACTATATACGAAAATATGGAGGTCACAAGTCATTCGACTATGATCAAAGAGAATGTGAAGAGTTAAAGTGTCTTTCTGGAAAGTTAAGTTGTCTCTTCTGGCCCAATTGCCCCTTCAAAACTTTGTCGTCCAAGTTTAACCCGGAAAATCTTGTTGACCTTGACATGCAATATAGTCGTCTTCAACATCTTTGGGAAGGAACTAAGGTATAATCATCATTTACATATATGTTTCATTAAAATTGGTTTAGTCCTTAGATATTATGTAACACATGTTTTCCTGGATGTGTTTTGACAGTCTTTAGCAAAGTTGAAAGTTGTCAATTTAAAAGGCTCTCAACTTAAGGAAACTCCTGACTTCACCAAGGCGAAGAATCTTGAGAAACTAATTTTTGAGGGTTGCAGTTGTTTATCTGAGGTTCACCCATCCATTTCTGCCCTTGAAAAACTTGTTCTCTTGGATCTAAGTTGGTGTGTCAAGCTCAAGGCCATTTCAAGCATCAATCATATGAAATCGCTTGAAACCTTGAATCTTTCTTTTTGCCGAGACATTAACATATTCCCTGAGATTTCAGAAGTTATGGAGAAGCTTTCGGGACTTTATTTGCGAGGGACTAGCATAAAAGAACTGCCTCGATCAATTAACAATCTTGCGGGGCTTCTTACTTTGAATCTTGAATATTGCAGAGAACTCAAGATTCTTCCAAACAGCATCGTTCAACTCAAGTCCCTTAAATTTCTTAATCTTTCTGGTTGTTCAAAGCTTGAGACCTTTCCGGAAAATGTAGGAAATATGGAAGGATTAAGAGAGCTTCGCTTGGATGAGACATCTGTTAGAGAGCTTTGCCCGTCGATTTGGTCTCTTGAAAACCTTGAGAGTTTGAGTCTAGAACAGTGCACAAAACTTCATAGTCTTCCAATCAGCATTCATATGAGATCTCTTCGAATCCTTAATCTTTCGGGATGCAAAAATCTGGAAAAGTTTCCAGAAATTCCTGAAGTTATGGAGAACCTATTGGAGCTATATTTAGATGGGACTGCAATTAAAGAGCTACCCTCGTCCATCAACAATCTAACAAGGCTTGTTACTTTGAACCTGAAGGACTGTAGAGAACTTAGGGTTCTTCCAAGCAACTTTCATATAAGATCTCTCCAAACACTTAAGCTATCTGGCTGCTCAAATCTGGAGCAGTTTTCAGAAAATTTTGAAGTTATGAAGAACCTATCAGAGCTTCACTTGGATTGGACTGCAATTAAAGATAAGAAGAATCCATCAAGGTTTCATTTAGAAGGGATTAAAGTTATAGAATTGCCCTTGTTTGTGTATACTCTTAGGGGGCTTGTTACCTTGACGTTGCGGTATAGCAAAGACTTCAAGCGCCTTACAAGCAGCATTTGCCAACTCAAGTCCCTAAACTATCTTTCTCTGTCTGGTTGTACAAAGTTTGAGGTGTTTCCAGACCTTTTGGAAAACATGGAACGATTGGCCAGCCTTGATTTGGATGAAACATCTATCAGAGAGCTTCCCCCATCAATTGAACGGCTTCAGGGGCTTGTGTCATTAAATTTGAAAAACTGCACAAGCCTTGTCTCTCTTCCGGACAATATCTGTAATTTGGCAAGTCTCGAATGGCTGACTCTCAACGGGTGCTCAAAACTTTCTAAGTTGCCTAAGGACTTGTGGTATTTGAAGCGCCTTGACATAAGGGGAGCTGGTATACGTAAAGATAACAATCATGGACCAACAGGCTATTACCTCCCAAAACAGGGGTTTTTTAGCACTTTGGGGGATTTGGCTCAGTTTCGAAGCACTGCACCTTTGATTGATATTATGGGCTCAAACTATGAGCAAAAAGAGGCGATGGCTGATGAGGAATCCTTTCTCACCTGGGTCGATGATTCAGAAATTCTGATGAATCGTGAGGAGTCAAGCCTATAGAGAGAGAATGTTGCAAGATTTGGAGTCTGATGAGGATTTGGAGTTCCTAGAGGAAAATGCTATACATCAAGATAACAATCATGGACCAAAAAGTGCACCCTTGCTTGATATGGACTCAAGCTACGATGAGAATGTGTTGGTGGCTGATGAGGCAATTTTGAGTGATCTAGGATACATCGAGACATGAAGAAGAGAACGAGGACAATGAGGAGAAGGCCGTGGCAGCCTCCAGGAGAGGAAGCAGGATATGGGGTTGCATCTGTGGGTCACAGGTTAAAGGGGATTAAGGTATTTGGCGCATCATCACTGATATAATGGTAAGACTTGGGACATGGGAGGAGGAAGAAATGGTGATTTTCTTTTGTGGAGTTTGCGACTCTTTCGAGTTTTGAGTTGGTTTCTGTATTCTGACAGCTCTTCTATTTAGTTATGTGCTGTATGTGGTCAGTATTTACTTATTTGTATGTATTGAAAAGTTTTTTTCTTTCTTTTTGATATGGTATGTATTACGAAGTTGGCACCTGTTCAACTGATTATGACTTGTATTATTTGTCTGTTGAGTTAACTATAATTTTATCAATTTGTGTTCTTTCTGGAAACTGGTCAGTAAACAAATCTGGATTCTGGTTCGGGAGTATAATCATGTTCCTAACTTTCTATCAGCGAAAACGTCCTTCTCCAAGCAGCATATAATACAGATACTAGAAATATATAAATCTAACCTGAAACCACCAGAACCGTTCAATTCTAGCGTCTACAGCTTTAGCATTAGTTGGAACAAGGGGCAATCTTTCGGAGAGAGAGATGAAATCGTTGAGGCACTTAATTATTCCTCCTCTTGCTGTGCCCTTTTAGACTGCTAATTCCAGAAGATCCAATCTCATACATCTTCCCTGAAAAAGCATGTGTGCCAGACTTCAAGATCAATTTTTTCGAACAAAAGAAATAATCATACTTGTCGAATAATTCTTGGCATGAAGACTGCCAAAACACCGTACGGAATAAGTTGGGTTGGTAACATCAAGGGATTTAAAATCTTGACATCTGAGTGGCAGATTTTATGTGAGCATACAACTAAAACTGGCATCACTATCGATGGTGCACAGAGATTGGCAAAAAATCGTATAGGGAAGCAATCACAACACAACATGTACCAAGTAATCTGTCCCCAGATTGAGAAATTTTAACACTTTGAGTTGTCAGTTTTCAGTTGTATTTGTTAAGGCGAGATGGATGTCAACTATGCAATGCTCTGTAAAACTTAAAAGGCTGCTAGCAGATCTCGTTCGTTGTATTGAATACCATGGTTTCACCCAGCGAGAAAGACTTCGTTTCTCTATGGTAATTTGATTTCCTTCACAGGAAAAGGTGCTTAAAATTTTTACATCTACCTAAGCTACTGATGAATGCGGAGTGCGCTGATGATGCATATGACAAGCAATTGAAAACCCCACTTACGCCAAAAAGCAAATTTTTACATCTACCTAATCTAGACTAGTGTAGTCTTTTCGACATTTACACAAATTCAGCGGGCTTATCCACTGTAATTTTCAGATAAATACATGTTAAGATAAGGACATGCAAAGTACCTTGACCCAAATTGGAGGAGCAACGGTGGCATTAGGAACGAGCAATGACATTGCGATATCTTAATAGTTTCTGCACAAGCATAGAAAATCGAAAGTTCAAAAACGTAGCGCACAAGCAATTGAATCCCACCAAACCCAAAAGATCGGCAACAACTATATTCCACATGTAGAATACCTCTCCCTGGTCCTGGTGACATGATCGCGAATCGATGAGAGCATATTGTAAGTATACAAATCCAAGTATTTCCTATGAAAGAATGGATCGTTTGGTAGAAGCATACTATAAAGGCAAAAGTTCTAGCTTCCTTATCAAGCATTGCATTTGAGGAACAAACCCGACAACGGCATTGCACTCAGATTGCCAGACAGCGAAAGCGAAATGCAATGTGGGACGCGGGACTTTTACATCATCGTCGACGGAGAATACTTTCGTTCGGTGAAAGTCCCTGATTTGGCTTAAACCAAGTGTTCAAATTGTCTTCTTGGTTTATGCTAAACTTAAAGTTATGGTTTTTTAGCTGCTTGTGACTTGGAAAATCCAATCTTTTCGAGATGGGATTTCAGACAATCCGACGGCGGTTCGCCGTCCGACCCGCCACATGAATTGCATCAGACCAGAGCTGAGCTTCCATGTGTTTTATCAGCACCTATTAATTATGTTTCCCATATTTCCAAATTTAATTCCGAATCAAAAAGTTGAATATTTTTTTTTCGTCAAATGGCCATCGCCGTCATGCAAGGACCCACGACGGAGTTGTGGCTGGAGGCGACTAAAACGACGACGGAGAAGATAAAACCGCACACGATGAGCTTGAACTTAGTGGCGCCCACCAGGCTTCAAAGCTGCCGAGAGGTCCCACCGTGGATGCCGAAGATTTTTAGAATGTTGTACACGTGTCAAAATGTCAGTACGTCAATTATTTTTATTTTATTTTATTAATAACATTTATTTTTCCACAAATATATAGTTTCCCATTTCCCATTCAATCTAGGATTTTTACTGGTAAATTCAAAATAAGTACCAAAACGAAGAAGGAAAAGGCATAAAACGACATTGTTTTCCCATTCCCAAAGGGGAATGCATGCATCTCTCCCAGAGTGCTTAGGAAAACAGAAGCAAACACCTCATCCGATTCCATCTAACTCACAACAGGGTCATCAGAAATCTAATGGCTCCTGCTGCTGTTTGGGTTTTTCAAACGAGGATGACCCTTTTTTTCTCTTCACTTATGGTTACTTTGTTCAGATTCTTCAGCAAAATCTTCCTCGTGAGTTTTCGTCACGACAAGAGTTCTCCGATGAACAATTCCCGTTGTTCTAGCCCTCCTCCTTCGGGAGAAATCAATGAGATTTTGAAGATTGATGGTGATGATTCGAAGTTTGATGATTTTGGTGATGGAGAGGTGTCGAAACCGAATTTCGTGTTCAAGTTTGAGTTCCAGACTAAAGAATTATTGAGTAGAATCAATGAAGGGAATAATGTTATTGGTGATTCGGCTCTCTCGGAAGAGTACGAGTTCCAAGCTGATAAGTTTAACCAAATGAAAGCTGCAAAGAATGTTAGTTGTTTCATGGAAGAAGCTAAAGCCGCAAGCTTTAATGTTGAAGAAGCTTATGAAGAAACTCCTCAGGATTTTGGACATGGTGAATGCGAGAAAGATGAGTCCCGTGAGATGAAATTGGTCACGGGAGAGAAGCCTCGTTCGGGTGGAGAGAAATTGGGGAGTCACGAAAACGATTCGGCTTCAGATTCTGATTACGATTCTGTTGGGTACGAAACTGATTGTTTTGAGCACGAGGGAGAAGATATGAAGGAAGAAGTTCAAGAAACCGAAGAGCTGCAGAAGAATGATCATCACAATCCTGAAGAAAAGCCAACGGAGGGTTTAGATTTAGAAGATTCTGAAAAATCCAATTGTCATAACCATAACCTGACAGCCAGAGATTATGTGGATTCATACACATTGGAAGCTTTGTGGGAGCACCAAGAATTGATAGAACAGTTAAAAATGGAGTTCAAGAGAGTCAGAACTGATGCTCTACCTACTATTCCCGAAGATTACGAGTTCTTGAATTTGGATGATTTGAAGCCAAGGAAGGTTGATGAAATACTCCATGGTAGAATCGGAGAGTTTGACGAATTCTACAAGAGCTACAGCGTACGTATGCGAAATTTCGATATCTTGAATAACCAGAAGTTGAATGCACTACGTTTATTGCAGTCCAAGAAACCACCTAAGTCGTTTTCGAGTAGCAAGTCCTTTCGCTCATGGAACCTTTTGAGATGCAAATCAAATAAAGATTCCGATTTTTTTGACCCAATTTCGGTCAAGTTTAGAGAATTGCATAGTGAGTTAGAAGTGGTGTATGTGGGGCAGTTGTGCCTTTCGTGGGAGTTCCTTAAATGGCAGTATGGTAAGGCCTTGGAGCTGTGGAAGTCTCCATATAAAACCGCTACATATAATGAAGTCGCGGGCGAATTTCAGAAGTTTAAAGAGTACTTGCAAAGATTTGTGGAGGGTGAATGTTCTGAAGAACGGACAAGGGTTGAAAATTATGTCAATAATCGATACAAGATGTCTATACTTCTTCAAGTTCCAGTGGTTCGAGGGGACAATTTAAAAGACAGAAGGAAAACAAGAAGAAAAGGTAGAGATGATGGAGAAATAATTTCGAGTGATGATCTAGTAGAGAAACTGGAAGAATCAATTACGACAATGTGGCAATTCATTCAAGCTGATAAATATGCTAGCAGTGCGATTAATGCAAGTCAAAAGAGAAGACGAGAACACCTTCAACAAACGGATTTGAATCTTTTAGCTGAGGTCCAAACTGATCTTCACAAGAAAAATATGAAGCTCAAAGAGACACTGAGGAGTAGGAACAGCATGCTCAAGAGATTCAGAAAGCATGTAGAAGAGGAAGGTACAGATGATCACCTTTACTTCTTCTCTGAAGTTGACATGAAATTAGTTTCTAGGGTTTTGAAAATGTCAAGTGTAACAACAGACCAACTAGAGTGGTGTTGCGGTATGTTGAGCAAGATCTGTTTTGTGAACCGAAAGCTTTGTGTAGATCCTTCAGTCTTGCTATTTCCATGCTAATTTTTAGAAGTATTTCACTTAAATTGTAACATGTGTATTTGTTTTTTATGAACTGAAAGATTCTTGTAGTTCGACCATTATTCCTTCTTTCTATTTCCATGCTAGCTAAATTAGCCCTATTTTTTCTTACCATGAACACTAAATTAATCTAAACAACATGATCATCATGAGGGTAATTCAAACTTGGCTAAAATAAGAACTAAAACTTTTGAATATATAAAGTTGAAATAAGAAAATAAAGGAGACAACATTTCTAAGCATTTTATTCCTGCCATTGGATACCATTATAAGAGACTTTCTCGAATCCAATTAAACAGCCAAAGTATTCAAAGCAAACGATTGCAACTTCCCATTTGCCCTCCCCTTTTCATTCTTCTACCCGTTAGGCACTTTTCAAATTGACAACCATGACACTTATATCGCCATGGGTTCCACGAGCTAATGCAAGGCGGCACAGCAATGTCGCTGCAAGGTTGCTTTTTGTCGATAGGATCACACCACCCCTCGCATTCTCATGGCCATCTGTGTTTGGAGGACAAAGACAGTGCTCCACGTTCCTCGGATTTGGAGCTGTAGCTCGATTCATATGGCCGCTGTTGCCACCACCTCCGCCTCCCCTGAGACACGTACAAGCTACCCTGCAGGCCATGTCATCGGGCACCACATCCCAGAGGCCGTCGTTGGCTAGAATCAAGAACTCATCTTGATCCCCTTCTCTTTTTATTATGGAAATATGAGGTTCCAATGTCACAACCGGTTTATAAATGTGCTCAACTGTTCATTAATTTACAATCCATCAAATAATTAGCACCAAGAAATAGCTTACCATTGAAGAGGCAGGAAAGCTTTTCGGAATGACATTTTCTTCAGATGATGTTACTAATGCACTCATGTTATCACTTACCAGACATGCATTTATTTACATATTCCCTACTTATGGTATAACAAGTTCATTAGTAACACTAATAACACCAATTGTGGCTCAACATCTTTTAAGAAACTTAATTACACTAATTTTTAATTAGAAGAGATATAACTGAAGATTACTTGGGTATGGGGAAAGAGACATGTTGAGAGTTCCATATACACGAACGCCGTTGTGATAGAACATCCGACCATCGACTGCACGCATCCTTTCTTGTTCATTCCACCTCTCAGATTGCAACTGATAGATAATAAAATTAGAATGTAAAATTCTAATATATTTTCTCTCTTTTATGCACTTTTTTAATATTTGGTCCATTGATGTTTCTTTGTTTTATTAAATACCAGGGTTAGGAATAAAAAAATGAAAGGAGTGCATGTGGAGGATAGATTAGAGCGAATTGAAACTTGAACTTGCACCTGAAGTAGATTTCGTCAATGAACCAAATAGCCGTTATTTAAGGTCTATGAATTTAACGAGCATTATTGGTCCCTCCACGAGATTTTTCGGTAATGTGATTATATGCAATGACATAGGACCTACAATTAGTCTCTAAACTTTCACTCTAATTTAGGGGATTTATTAGGATGATTCAGAGTGTCGGATACTATATGAATTTTTTAACAATTAAATCTTTAGTCGAAAGTCTAACGGTTAAAAAGACGGGATTATATGATACTAGAGCTATAGTCTACGTTTTGTAAAATTCAAAAACCTCAATTAACAGTTTTAGTTCAGAAACTAATTGTAAACTAAACTCAGCGATCAATTTTAAATAATTAAATTGTAAGGCAAATTAAATGTATACAAAACCAACCTTATGATAATGGGAGAGTGGGAAAGGACGCCCAGCGCGGCCAAGAACGGCGTGTGAGAAACCACAATTGGCAACCACAATATGCTGAGCTGTCAATATTGCCACAACAGCAGTGGACCCCGCAACAGGCAGTGCGTTGATATTGGGCTTGCACCCGCATGCGTGCCCGATGTTCCCACACGGGCAAGTGTCCTGGGCCAGTCGATGCATCCTCTGGAAACTCCTTTCTAGGGCCGTCGGTACCAGAGTCGGCCACCTCGCCTCCTCTTGCCCTTGCGAAGCAAAGTTCATGTTTTCATCACCATTCGCACACCCTACGGTGGTAAAGACGCGCCGCAGCTCCTCGGCTACGAATTCGTGCATCCGTTGTTTGCAAACGGTGGACACCTATACATGTGAATTTAACCACAACGTTCCCTTCTTCTCAGTTCATAAGTAGGAAAATTATCACATTAAACTAAGATCTTAAATTAAATTTTAAATATTTTGCTATAGCTTAATGTAGAGGGTACGAAATTAAAAGTATATAACGTTCGTTCTCTTGTCAAGTTTATACAATGAGAGTATCTTATGATATAAGTCTGACAAGAAAATGTTGCATGCCTGACAAGAAAACAATTTGTCTCAATGAGACAAATATGTTTTCACCATAAAAAATCCTTATATAAATATATAATTACGTAATACTTACATGAGGGTGTCCATGACCGTCATATACAGCAAAGAAATGAATAGGCTGGCCATGAAGAACATGATCGAGCCGGCAAAAGTCCTCTTTCACAAACACGGTATCGTTTAGTTCCATACTCATCTGATCTGGACGCCGACTGAACGACATTGTCCTGAATTCCGGCATTGGGTTCCTATGAAGCAAATAACGGGGAGGTGGTACTGCAGGCTTCACCGCCACCTCATGATCAGTTGGCCCTCCATCCTCCTCGTCAGATAATATTAGACAGGTCTGATCATGATCGTTTGAGATTTGCTGAGCACCAAGTACTGGGAGTGGGCGGTAGCCGGAGCTGGACCACCTGGCCCGCCTCATCTCTATTCTTCGACGGCGGCGCTCTCGGCATTGCTCCGGAGTATCAAACATCCACTCCTTCCTCAGCCTCATCTTCCACGAAACAAGTTCAGCTCGCTGCCGGGTCATAATTGTTTGATTAGGGTTTCAGAGAGAGAGAGAGAGAGAGAGAGAGAGAGAGAGAGAGAGGAAGATCTAGACAGAGAAAGATATATAGAGAGTGATGAGAGAGGGGATAAACCAGAGAAACGTGAAAGTCGAAGGTCCTGGAGAATGTGGTGACTCGTGGAAGGAGAGAAAGGTTGGGAAGCGCCACGAGAATGCTCTGCATGAGCTATGAAGCCACTACGTGGGGCCTTCTTGCTCTTGTTGCAACCGTCGATGTCAGTAACATCTTTGCCAGCTTGTGTGGCTTTGAAACAGAAAATTAATGTTTACTGAAATTCCATTATTTTATGGTAAAATGAAACAAAGTAAGCACAAAATGAAAATTACATGATAAATATGTAAGGTGTAAACCTACCTTAATTACAGAAGGTACTACAATTTTGTTATAGATTTCAAATACGATGTCAACTACTAATTGTATTTATCTAACCATTTGTGCAATGTGAAACTATATATAAAAACGCAATTGGTAGCAAAACCATTTAATATAAGATGGATTTAGTCTTGTCCTACAAACAATATAATCTGAATCGTTTACTTTTTTATCATCCTCTAAAAGTCTTTTTTAAAATAAAATAAATTGATCTGATTTAAAAGCAGTTTAGTCATCTATATCAATCAACAAACTGACAATTTATGATGAGAATACTGCAAAAACATGTGATTTGAAATCAATATGGAAATGGCAAGTGACCATTTACCACAGTGATGGAAAGTGTTCAGCCCTTGCATGATGACGTGAGTTCAAACTCCGTCAATGGTTAATCTAACACCTAATCTAACAAAATTTATGATTTGACCAAAAAAAAAAAAATCAATATGGAAACTGAACAATTATGAAATTATTGTAATCTAGTTTTGATCAACATCAATGTGATTTGAATTTGAACATGGATAATTCTACATTTCAGCGTCTGAGGCTCGACTTTCACGAAAGCACCTTCCAACGGCGAAACTATGGCGTGGTAATTTGGAACCGGAGGGCTAACGTTGGCGACAGTTCTGTGAAGTGTCAAAAGCAGGAACAAGTTGGTAATCTGCAACAACCTCCCTTTCCATTTGCAACCTGTGTTTACCAAGATCATACCTAGTCCCCATGCATTTCATACCACCTGTCCCTTCTGCGTTTCGGACTAACCCCACGGTCACAGATCACAATCCTCCCAGCAACAACGCAGCAATTCAAAGTTGCTTCCAAAACAAGGAAGTGGGATCAGGGCATGGTGAATTGCTACCAGTATACACAATACCAGTATTTTTCGCTATCAATTGAGTGAAACCCCGCCAGTGACTGAAAAAACGAAGCCTACTTCTATCAATTGAGTAGACTTAATGAAACAGACATAAAGCAAGATAAAAAGGCACAACACACCTGAAATATTGGTCAGCAACTCTTACCTGTAATTTGCCAACAACTTCCGCCTCAGGGTTTTCATGATGATTTTTTAGGCTGCGCCATGCTTTGGTTTGCACCTCCTCACGATTGGTATATAAAGAAACGAACTCCGCATCTTCTGATGTGATGCAGCTGTGTTTGCCAAAATCATATACCTAGTACATCTTCTCCATCTTTCACCACCAGTCCCTTCTATGCATTACGATTAACCACACGGTCACAGATCATACTGTTTCCGCCAACAGAGCGTGGATCCAAAGTTTCCTCCGAGCTCATGGAGCTGGGATTAGGGCTTGTTGACTTACTACGGATATACACAATAGTCAATAGACAACACACTGCCTTCATCAGCCAAAGCTTATGACTGCTGACAGAATATCAGAGCTGAAGGAACCACCAACCCAGAAAATTTAAAATAAATTTGAAAAATAGATTGATACATAAATTAGAAATTTCCCTTCTATTTTACCTTCTATTCTTGGCAATGGCATCAAAAGCGTCCCCGCATCTCTATAAGTTGCAAGCTTCCAATTTGAGAGTTGTTAAACAACAAATCGATTCAGTGTCGCAGGTAAGCTCTCAAAAAGATTTCTGCAAGCTTTAATATATATTTACAAGGAAGATAAATGGGGAATACCATCCGAAACCTCCAACAGTCACTTAAATCAAGAATTTCAGGCCAAATTTCACATTAAAAGTAGGTACCTTTTATTCTCGGAATCAGAAGCGTTCCTACATTGCTTTGAAGCTTATAGCCTTATATGAGGGTAAAGTAGAGAAGAGTAGATATTACAACCTTGTATTAAACCAATCAGGCAACGCATTAAATGATTAAGTCTATTGGAAGATGTTTCCAACTCCAACAAAGTATACGTGTCTACAATTGTTTTCCCTTTCATCAAGTGACGTGCACAAAGTATAAATCCACAATGAGTTACTGCCTCCCCAAGAGAGGATGAAACCACCATCAATTGCAAGCTGCAAATCAAATTAAGTTTTCTTTTGGGTCAACAAATCAAAATAAAAGTTGGTTTGCTAGGAATGAACACAGAGACGGCAGAAGATGACAGAGATAACGACACTCACAGAAGGCTCTTTGATGAAACGACTTCTTTTCTTGACATTGTTAATATGAAACCGAAGAGGTAACCAATCTGCAGGGTTGCATCACCACCATTCCTCCCGGGACATCAACAATTCCCAGTGAAGCCATTTCACTATGGTCATTTTCAGATGCATAATTTCTTGAAGGATGTTGCATCTCTCGCTCTGCTCATAAGAAGCATTCCTCCGCTTGACCATCCAGCCCCAGTATAGCAGCTACCCTGACTGCTCCTCTAAGCATAATTAGCAACTTCTGTCGCTGGTTCGCTACACACTTCCTGATGGGCCATTTACTCATGATTTGCATAAATAACATGAACTCCACACCTTCTGATGGAAGGGTATCGTACTGCTGCTCTGAAATCACGTACGTAGCCTCCATCTTTAACAACAAATTTGAATGTGGCCTCAGTGTAACAACGTTCATAGGCCTGCTTTCCCGTTTCAATCAAGCCATACTTAGACCATGGAACATATCCTAAGAACATGTGATCTGACTCAAGGAATCTGTCAGTTTTGAAATCCCAATCCAGCATATAGATATTGAAGCTGTACTCATGGTGATTTCCTTTGAAGGTGCAAAAGCATTGAACAGATAAATTAGATGCACAGTAATGAGCACTCTTGAAATTACTAACAGCGCATATAGCAAATCCCAGTAACTTATTGTGGAACAAATTCAGTTGTAGCTTCGCAGTTACCGAAGACCCTGTACACTGTTGGCTAAACCAATCTGGAATATCACTTCCAGGAAGAGACATATTAAAGGAAAATTGCCGGAGATGATTACCCTGCAACAATGAAAGCTCACTTAATTGGGTTTACTTTTGTGTTTTCACCTGTTTGTGTACGTACTGGTATCATTGCCTCTGTGTGTGTGTGTGTGTGTGTGAGAGAGAGAGAGAGAGAGAAACCTGATCATGACAATGAGCTTCCACAATATCCCTGAATGGATTTTTTTGTACCAGCCGGAGGCAGTTAGAAAATATGAAGTAAAGATTCATATAATGAGGCTTTGGTGTTGAAACTGTTTCCAAAGCTGTGCAATCATGTGCATCTATCTTAGTAATATTTGATGAAAGCTGTGGTATTGATATTAGTCTCCTGCAAGCTTCCAAGTTGAAATTTTTTAAACGACGAAGTCGATCCATAGTTGCAGGTAACCTCTCAAAATTGTTTCTGCACAGCACTAACGTTATCAAATGAATTAGATTCGTAACAGAATCCGGTAATTCCATCAGTTTGCTGTCACTTAAATCAAGCCATACAAGGTTTTCATAGTGTCTATGAGCCGATGGTTTCGGTAACAATGATACAAATGGGACCTTCTTTGCCTTCCATCTACCAGATAACGTTGCAGGCATGATTGAACTTGACATAGAGAATGGTTGTTCTATACCACTTCCCTCTACATCAACTTCCCTTAACGATTTTATGTTCCCCAAGTCCTTAGGCAAATAATAAAGTTTTGAACACCCAGAGAGAGTAAGACCGGTAAGGTATTCCAATTTACAGATACTGTTCGGAAGACAGACAAGGCTTTTGCAGTTTTTCATAGTTAATAACTGTTAGTGTTTCTTAAATCAACGAAGGTTTTGATGTAGATGGAGCTGAACAGAAAGCAAAATAAACCAAGACGAAAGAAAAAAGAATGGTTTCTTGTTTTTCACTCTGCAGAAACTCTTGCAGAGGAATATTTCATTACATTTCACACAGAGCACTAACTTGCTTTTACATTAACTGAAGGCCCTTAACTTGGGACCACAATAACCACTACAATTCATCCTAGACACACATCTTTCTAATCTCATGGATCACTCAACACATGGCACTCATGGCCTTTTTTTACAAAACTAGTCATTTACACTTTGCCTCATTTTGCACAAGTGGATACACCAATTTAAACAAAACTTATTCTAAATCTTTTCAGCTCAAATACTTATAGTTCAACACTCCCCTTTAAGTTTTGAGCTGATTTCACACCAAGCATATCTCGAAGATAGTTGAACCGATCCTTAGACAAAGCCTTAGTGAATATGTCTGCCACCTGCTCATTTGTTGGACAGTACACCAAATCGATTATCCCTTCCTGGAGTGCATTCTTGATAAAATGATACCTTCTGTCAATGTGCTTGGTTTTCTGATGGAAAACAGGATTTTTAGTAATTGCAATTGCTGCTGTATTATCACAGTGTACTGGAGTCGCTTCAGTTTGCATCTCACCAAAATCTTCAAGAACAAATCTAAGCCAAATGGCTTGAGCAGTTGCTTCAGAGGCACTGATGTACTCTGCTTCTGCTGTAGAGAGTGCTACACAATTCTGCTTCACTGAGGCCCACGAGAACACTCCACTGCCAAAGGAAAATGCATAACCAGAAGTACTCTTGCTATCATCAACAGATCCACCCCAATCACTATCACAGAATCCGATTAGCATTGCATTCTTTCCCTTTACATACTCTAAACCATAGTCTAAGGTTCCCTTGATGTACCTAAGCACTCTTTTGGCTGTCCCAAGATGTTTATTTGTAGGACAGTGCATGAATCGAGCTAGAAGGCTTGCAGCATACATTATATCTGGTCGAGTTGCTGTGAGATACAACAGACTTCCCACAATTCTTCGATACTGTTCCTCACTTGCTGAGCCACTGCCATCATCTTTGCATAGCTTCTCTGATGAAATCAGTGGTGTAAACACAGATTTACACTCACTCAAACCAAACTTATCTAACAAAGAAACAGCATACTTCCTTTGATGGATAAATATGCTTGTGTGAGTTTGAATCACTCCCATACCAAGGAAATGATGAAGAAGCCCCAAATCTGTCATCTCATATTTTGTCATCATGTCTTCCTTGAACTCCTTCAACATCTCAGTGCTATTCCCAGTGTACACTATGTCATCCACATAGATTGAAACTATCAGAATTTCTCCTCCCCTTGCTTTGATGTAAAGAGTAGCTTCACTCTGACTTTTCACAAACCCACAGTGAGCAAAATAGGTATCAATTTCACTATACCAGGCTCTTGGCGCCTGTTTTAGACCATACAAAGCTTTATAAAGCTTGTACACCTTGTCTTCACTCCCCTTGATCACAAAACCATCTGGTTGTTCTACATAAACTTCTTCTTCGAGTACTCCATTCAGAAAAGCAGATTTCACATCTAATTGGTATAATTTCCAACTTTTCTGAGCTGCCAAAGCAATTAGAGTCCGAATTGTATCCAGTCTAGCTACAGGTGCAAACGTTTCATTGTAATCCACACCTGGTTTCTGAGCATATCCTTTGGCTACCAGCCTTGCCTTATGCTTTTGCACTGTCCCATCGAGATTAAGCTTGGTCTTGAACACCCACTTAACCCCAATTATGGGTTTATCACTTGGTCTGTTCACCAGATCCCAAGTTGCATTCTTCTCAATCATTGACAGTTCATCTTTCATAGCCTTCATCCATGCTTCATCTTTGGCTGCCTCTTCAAACTTTTCAGGTTCCATAATACAAAGGTTGCATTGTGCCAAAACATCATCTAGATTCCTCCATTTCAATGGAGTGTGATCAAAAACTTGAGTCCTTCTTATGCTGCTGTCCACATCACTTACAGATTCATGAGAGAATGCCAGATTTGGTGACAAAGCATAATCATTTTCCTCTGAAGTTGTCTCTGATGAAATACATTTAGGCAGCACAGATAGCTCACTAGAATTAAACACAGTTACATAGTTCTCAGGAGCTGTCTTCCATTCCCAGGCTGCATTTTCATCAAACACTACATCCCTTGAGAGTATAAGCTTTTTACTAAGAGGATCATACACCCTGTACCCCTTTTCACAGGTTGCATAACCTACAAATATGCCCTTGACACTCTTTGCATCTAGTTTCTGTCTCAACTCATTTGGTGTGTGTACATAACACAGACAACCAAAGATTCTGAGATGTGCAATTCCAGGTTTTCGACCACTGAATGCTTCAAATGGAGTTACTTCTCCAAGAGCTCTTGTAGGACACCTGTTCAATATATATACAGCTGTGAGTACAGATTCTGCCCATAAGAAATATGGTAGTCCTTTGTCATGGAGCATAGCTTTTGCCATCTCAACTACAGCTCTGTTTTTCCTCTCTACCACTCCATTCTGTTGTGGAGTATAGGCCATAGATAACTGTCTTTGAATCCCTGCATCTTCACACAGCTTGTTGAATTCACAAGATGTAAATTCACCCCCTCTGTCACTTCTCAGACATTTTATCTTAAAGCCACTTTGTAATTCCACCATGGACTTGAACTTTCGAAAACAGATCAATGCATCTGACTTGTATTTCAGGAAATAAACCCACATCATTCTTGTACAGTCATCTACAAGAAGCATGAAATATTTGTTACCTCCAAGAGAATCATTCTGCATAGGGCCACACAGATCCACATGCACCAGTTCTAGAGGATTACTTGCTCTCCATGCTTGATTCTTTGGAAACCACTCTCTGTGCTGTTTCCCAAACTGACAACCTTCACAAACTTCATCCATTTCTTCTAAAACTGGGAGACCATGCACCATTTCTTTGTTCTTAAGCTGTTGAAGACCTCTAAAATGCAGATGGCCTAGTCTCTTGTGCCATATCCAAGTAGACTTAGAAATACCTGCTCTCA